TATGAAGTATGAATCTAGGAAAATTGAAAGTGGTCAAAAAATGAAATGAAGCGCATAAACATCGATATCTTAGGCATTAGTGAGCTGAAATGGACTGGTATTGGCCATTTTGAATCTGATGACCACACGGTTTATAATGCCAGAAATGAAAAATTAAAGAGGAATGGTGTTGCATGCATTGTCAAAAAGAATACATCCAGATCAGTCATGAGGTACAACGCCATCTGTGATAGGATAATAGCTATGTGCCTACAGGTAAGCCCAGTTAATACCAGTATTTTTCAAATTTACACACCAACCTCTAAAGCCAGTGAGGATGAAATAGAAGAATTCTACCAACTTCTTCAATCTGAAACTAATCAAACATGCAATCAGGATGTATTGACTATTACTGGTGATTGGAATACAAAGGTAGGGATCAAAGAGGAAGGATCAGTGGTCAGAAAATACAGCTTTGGTGATAGAAATGATGCTGGAGAACGCATGATAAAATTCTGCAAAATCAATGATTTGTTCATTTCAAATACCTTCTTTAGACAGCATAAGAGATAACTATACACATGGACCTTGCCAGATGGAATACATAGAAACCAAATTGACTACATCTGCAGAAAGAGATGATGGAATAGCTCCATATCATCACTCAAAACAAGGCCTGGGGCAGACTGTCAACAGACCATCAACTACTCATATGCAAATTCAAACGGAAGCTGAAGAAAATGAAAACAAATCCACGAGAGCCAAAATATGACCTTGAACATATCCCACCTGAATTTAGAGATCATCTGAAGAACAGATTTGATACATTAAACACTAAAGATCAAAGACCAGAAGAGTTGTGGAATGACATCAAGAACATCATACATGACGAAAGTAAAAAGTCATTAAGAATACAAGAAAGAAGGAAAAGGTCAAAATGGATGTCAGAAGAGACACTGAAACTTGCTCTCCAATGTAGAGATGCTAAAGCAAATGGAAGAAATGAGGAGGTCCAAGAGCTGAAAAGAAAATTTCAAAGATCAGCTCAAGAAGATAAAGCCAAATATTACAACA